CTATCAATAGCCACCAGCATCATCAGAAGCAAATATTGTACTCTCTTAAATTTCATAAAAGAAGCTACATGGCTCAAGCACTTGTTTATCAAGATTGATACCTTTTTAGTCACTATTACTTTTCACAAAAAAAATGGAAATATGGCCAAATCAATCTCAATGACATTCTTTTTTTAAATATGCCAGCCAAAATCTAAATCAAGGCCCTCAAGCATATAAAATTTGAGACTTGTAATTCATGTTTGGATATTACTCTAGCATCCATGGAATGCCTAAGAAGGAGATAATACATCTTGACACTGAACAATTGTAACAAAAATATTGGATGATAAATTTATTCAACTTTTTGTATAAGAATCTAAATTAAAATTAGTCAGTATATAAACTAGTAAATAAATTAGAGTAGTTAGTTCTTTACAGAGTAGATGTAATATTATTTGTTTAGAAAGTAGCTTGTGATCTCATTGTGTTTTGAACACAATTTCATTATAAAATAATTTTTAAGTGAATATAGTGATTTAATTTGTAGTCACATTTTGTATTGCAATTGGAAGTTATTTAAGTGTATATACTTGTTAAATCTCAACATGTTATGGGCCTTTATAATGTTGACAAGTTTTACTTTGCTTTGATTATGTTATCTAAATTTTTTATTTAATTTCTTTCATCTTATATTTTTCTTACAGATTTTAGAACTATTTTTTTTTAACTAATTGATTTTCTTGTTATTTATTTTATTCTTTGCTAATTAGCTTATTTTATTTTAATTTTATTTACTTTAGTTATCTTCTATATTTAATTCTTTATTTTAAACTATTGAAAAAAAGAAGTCTAAAAGCTACAAACACTTAGCATCAGCAAGGATTGTAGTCTAAGAGAAGTGTAGAAAAGATAATTCTTCCTTCCAACACTCTTTACTTATAAGTGGTGGTTTCCTCACCAATGAGGCAACTTCTATCCTTTTGATATTACATCCATTTCTACCTCATCTAACTAAACCTTTGGTGCCACCACAATAACTTACTTTCACTCTTTGCTATCTTTTGACTATTAGCAACATACTATGCTTAATCTCTATGTGGTTGTAACTAAGCAAGTACTTGATGATCTTTAACACTCCCACTTTGCTAATATTCAAAAGGCTTTTAATTCTAATCTCTGAATCAAGTCATGATGTCTATCCTTCACTAATGTCTTTGTAAGCATATCAGCAAGCATGTCATTTGTAGCACAATACTTCATACCTATTATTCCATCTTCAATTGTTTCTGATATGAAATGATGTTGAACATCAATGTGCTTGGTTCTTGAGTAGTATTTTGGATTCTTAGCAAATGCAAGACATCCTTGATTGTCACACATAATTAGAGTTGCTTCTAATTGCACCAGACCAATGTCTTCTAAGAGTTGCCTTATCCAACATCCCTCCATTGTACAATGACTTGCTGCCATGTACTCTGCCATATACTCTACTAAACCCTTGGTGCTACCAAAATAACTTACTTTCACTCTTTGCTACCTTTTAACTATTAGCAACATACTATGTTTAATCTCTATGTGGTTGTAACTAAGCAAGTACTTGCTGATCTTCAACATAAACTTCTAATACTAATTCAACTTCGAAATTGTAGAAAAATAAGAAAAATTTAGAATCAGGGTGTTTAATGGTGACCAATTTTATCTCTAAAACTTATATATAGAGATTGTGTTAAAAGCCAAGAAAGTGTATAGAGTCATTATTAGTATTGACTACCAACCTATAATGTCTACGACTTGCAATAATCACAAAATCCAAGAACAAATAAGTTCATGGAATTAGAGAAATACAGATGCAAGGATGCTTATTACTTCCTATATATTACTATATATTATTTCAAAGTCAACAATTTGCTTAATTGTTGATAGTTTGTGGACTAAGTTATATTCAATTTATTTAAAATAAAATGATAAGAATATATCCTAATTACAATGTAAAATCTTAGACTATAAAATGACTTATAGTGATGATATTTGTTCTTATATTCAAAACATATAAAATATGGTCTTTTTATTAAAAGACCTACAATATGATATATTGGAGAATATATTTATTTCAAAGATCATATCAAGTCTTTCTCCTAGTTACAACAATATACTTTCTGCTTAGGCCAACATCTCAAAAAAAGAATAACAACTTATATTTATCCTTCAAGAGAAACTTCTTCAGCAAAAAAAATTTACTCCAAATGCAAGGTGCAAATGAAGACCCAGGCAACCTTGCATTTTTAATCCATAGGCAAAACTTAAAAATCACACTAGTTTCTCAATATGAACAACACCAAAAAGATATTTAGTACAACAGTAATTTTAAGAGCTACACTTGATGTTTTAATTTTGGAAAAAAGAATCACTGGTCTATTAGTTGTTTGAAATTGAAGAAAAAGTAAGCAATTTTGTTTTTTGTCACCAACTGTTATAACTAAAAACAATGTATCTAAAAATCTCTACTACTATTATGGTTTTGATGATGGCAAAAGAGCTTCATATGACAAACAACCAGCTCTTTTTAATTTAAAAAATGTTAATTTTGCATTCATGACATCTTCTTTTTCATTTTACGCCTATTCTAATAGTTTCAATACTAATTTTTAGTATACAGATTTTGTTGCTACAAAATACGTGACCGACCTTCAAGACTAATATGACACTTTTATTCTAATTTTGGAAGGGCGTTAGCTTATTATTGTTGGTGATCAAACTCTTTGGGCGTGCAAGAGAAAGAATATCTATATAAAGTATTAGATTTGTGTTGCTTCTTTATCCATAATTCTTACTGATATCTTTTTTATTCTTTCTCTTGCTCAAAACTTCTTTACTATTGGTACTGTCTCTAAAATCAGTACTTCTTTTGTTACCATCCAGTATGCTTATAAGTTTATGTGGAAAACAAGAAAAACAGTTTTAGAAGGCAAATAGATTAATTGCCTCTATCAGCTTTTGATTACCATAGTATTCACGACACATATTTTAATTTCATCCAAGTTCAATTAAGATTTTATATAATTGATTGCTAATTTTCTTGACATGTCAATTATTAATATTATTATGACTCAAATCCAAGTTCAACATATTTATCTCTAGCATAAACACATGGTTTATATCAATGTTTTGATAATAAGAAAAATGCATATTTATTAAAAAAATCTAATTTCAACTTAGACAATATGACCACAAACCATTCACTTTGTCATAGTTGCATGCTTGGCAAGCATACAAAATCTACATATTAGCATGACAATAAGAAAATTTGTACATTTATTTTAGATAAATTTTTAAATGGTGGTATTTTTGGTAAACTAAATATTCAATCAATTGGAGGCTCTTTATACTTCATACTTTCAAAGATGATGAAAATTTCCTTTGTTTTTATACATTTTGTAAAAAATTAAAAGTTAAAAATAATTAAACACTTTTGGACGACTTTAAAAGTTATCAAATTAAAATTATCCATTTTCATAAAACACTTTTAGACTAATTACAAAACCAAATACTATAACTCTTCTTTTAAAAACATTCTTCACAAAGCCGAGATACATCACAAATTTAGCATTGATTATGCTATACACCAAAATAAATATATTAAAAGAAATAATTGCATAGTATTTGAAGCTGCTAGATCTATGTTATGCAAAAAAGTGTTGCCACTTTATCTCTAAGCCAAAGCCATAAACACCATGGTTTATATTTTCAAACTAATCAATTAACTTCCAAACTAGATATTGAATTCTATTTAAATTAGAATTTGCTTCTAAATCCTCTATTTTTCATTACAAGATTTTTGAATCACTTGCATACATATATGGTAATAAATAACAAGCTACAAAGCTCAAAGCTAAGAGCTCTCTTATGATTTTTATCAACTATTGTTTATCAAGTAAAGCTTATTGATTTTAGGATCCAATTTCAAATAAATCATTGAAAGCACCAACTCAACTTTTAAAGAAAACTTTGGTCCTGTTTTGTCTTCTATCTTCTTTATTATTTAATTTTAATCCACTAACTTCTTCTGCAACTTTACAAAAACAACCCTTTGATCCAACACCCAATCTTTTTCTCAAAGATACACCAATTTTTATTTTATTTGAATCTTCTTAAAAAAATATGACTTTGAATTTTAGTAAACCAGTGGAAGAAGTTAGGGAATTAATGGAAGATATTAGAGAAATGGGAACTTATTCTATCCATAAAGATCCAACTTACGACTTTTCTGTTGTGCCTTAATATGAACATTACTATTCCTTGCCTAATATTTTGAACTTTGGATCCCACGCTTTGTCTGGCTCCAAGACAACTGTTTCTATTTATCTCTATCTGGATTCTATTATATGTTTCACGGTAATTGGTGAATCATTTTTCAAACTACAAACTTATAGCAAAGTCTTTGCCTCCTTTGAAGTTGTTCTTTAGACAGGAACTATGCAAGCCAAGTATATTTCTTTAATAGAAAATCATACATGGAATTTAGAACAACTTCTATCCAGCCAAATGCCTATTCATTGCAAATGCATTTATAAAATTATATATAATTATAACAAAAAACTCCAAAAATATAAAGCCTAAATTGTAGCTAAAGATTTCATGCAAAAACTTGGTAGTGATTACATTGATACTTTTAGCTCAATTGTAAAACATCATTCTATTTACGTTTTTCTTGTTATAGCTGATGCCTAAAATATGGAGCTTCAACAGTTTGACATTAGTACTACTTTTTAAAATGGTGACTTACACTGAAAAAATCTACATGCATCAGCCTCAAGATTTTTATTAGTCCTCTCTAATACTGCTATTTTTTTTGTCTCTAAAAGAGAATATACAATATGAAACAAAATATAAAACAATAGAACAAGAAATTTGACATGTTTTTGAAACAATTCAATCTTCTTTCTTCATGTGAGTCACAAAATTGACTCACTTGTATATTTATTACAAAAAAAATGCATCTTTCTTACGTTTTTTTGTGTGCTGGCTTGAGAGCTCTAAAATTTTCGGTGGCTCCCTCATTTGTGTGTGTGGCTGCTGTGCTGTTGCGACTAGTGTGTGCTATTGCAGCGGCGCTTCGTGGAGGACGTCGTTATCTGTCTCTGATCTGGGGCTATGTGAGTGGGAAGCCACATCTTTCATTTTTTCTTGTTCTTGTTTTTTTTAAAAAAATTGAAACTCCGTAGGCTGCTGCATTGCAACTAATTTGCCTTGTTTTTTTCTTTTTCCTCCATGGTGCTGTTGCTGCGGATGCTTCCAATTTGGCGGTGGTTGTTGCTGGATTGGAATTAGTCTTGATGCGATCACAGTTGTGATGCTGTTGAACTCGTGCTCAAGAGTGGTTGGAGTCGAGGCTAGCGTCAAGATCCACTGTTTATTCTGTGGCATTGGTGGCTAGTGTAGTGTGTTGGATGTCTATTCTCGCTTGAGATTTGGTGTTGCACTGGTGGTGCGGCAATTGAAGCCGCCGATGCTGGTTTTTTCTAAGCCGATTCTCATTTGGTGGATGAAGTGCTCATTTGTTCTGTGGTGCAGCAACCGGATTCTGTGGTATTCACGTCGCGGAGTGCGGCGGTGTGAGTGCGTTGTAGTGGTAGAATTTGTTGCTAATTTTTAGTCATAGCTTGTTGACAGTGTTTGGAGGTACGTAGCGCTACAGCGGAAGATTCTGTCTAATATAGCTAGCTTCGCAAGAGAAGGGCTAGTGTTAGTTAATTTCCATAATGTCCCTTTGTAATTTGAGTCATTTGCTGGTATGAGTTGCGAATAGCTTGTCCAAATGGTGATGAGATTTGGATGCTGGTATCTCATATGGAATTTGGTGTTGCCGCACCACAGCTATATTCAGCTCAAGGAGGATGACAAAGAAGTTGTCTGCATTTCTACCGTATGCTAAGTGGAGTAGGTCAGATTGAGTTCTACTAAACACCTTTTCGCAAGCACAACAAGATTCACGCTGTCAACGGTAGGTTGGCGGAAATGGCATCTATCAGAAAGGGGAGTGTACTGTTGGAGAAGCAGGGGATAATTTAGATGTAGCATATAATGTTGTGCAATCATTTCGTGTCACTGTTTTCAAGCTACCCTTTCCACCCTGGCGCTGATTAGTTCACCTTCGAGCTAGAAACCATTGCTCGATACAACGTCTCTGAACAACCAGACTTGGGGTAATCACCATGGCAGCTGTGGATGCGAAGTTCTGATTTTATTGAAAGCGGTTTTAGGCAACTCTGTTTTGTTTCATCGTGCAGAGCATTTTTGCGACGGACTTTCCATTTTTTCCCTTCTTTTGTGTTGCGGGACCTCTACGAACAGTAGGTGTCGGACTGGATCGAGCTGTTACAAGTCAAAGAGTGGAAGGTTCAAGTCAAAGGTGGTCTACATTTGGACGAGAGGCGGAGTTGGAGGCATTGAGTCGTCTCGAACTCGATGTTTGTCACTTGACAAGGCTTTTGCGCTCAAAGAATTGGTGGCACGATAGAAGAAGGTATAGGTTGTGACGATCTTGGAGTGGACATTGCGAAGTTTCTATCACATTGGATTTATTGTGAAGGCATCAATGCGAATCGGACGTCGGCTGTAGAAGTAATAGGACTGCATACTTCACGAACAAAGGCGAGGTATCACGCTTGATATTGCCCAACCATCGAACTTGTTAATCTCGAATCTACGCGCACACTGTTCTTATGACTGTATAACGGAGGTGTTGATTTATTGGTATTCTTCAATGTTTGTTACCAGTTACAAAAATTGCAAGGTGAATACAAGGTTCATAGGAAGAATTTAGGTTAAGAGGGCAATAAATTAGGGTTTGATGGTATTAGGATTTTGAATGAAGTTTAATCAAGGATGAATTGTTGTGGATGAAAATTTATTTAAAGATAAATTGTTATTAAAGGATGAACTTTAATTAAAATTAAAAATAATAAATAATAAATAAATACAAAAGAAAGTTTTAATGTATGTAGTATTTTAAGTAATTTATTATTGTAAGTGTGAGGGTGGTAGAAGTTTTGCTTGATTACTTTAGGGATTTAAGAAGACTAAAGAGTGATTTAATCAAGATGTGAGTAATGACTACAATTCCTAAAAATTACTTTTTTAATTCACTTATTGTGAACTAGAATAAACTTCTAATTAGTGGAGGTTTATTTTAGATCACACTTTGATGGTTGATACTTATGTTTATTTAAATCTTGGTATATTTCTATACATCATGGTAAAAATTTATGTATATGATAGAATCATTTGTTCTTTTAAATCTAATTATATTCTTCAAATCCTTTGTTATCTATAAATAATCTTTAAAATTAATATAATTTTTTAAATTACTTTATTGGTTTTCAAATTTAATATTATCAATCTTGATATTTTATTTTTTTTACCAATTTTAATATATCATTGCTATTTTTAATTATTTTAACATATAAGATTGAAATCTCATATCTATAAGAAGATAAAGTAGTAGGTGGATTATAATTGATTGATACTATTAGAGCTTCCTCTGTTGATTTGGTTCTTTATTCAAGGTATTTAATTTGCAAAATTCTTCAAAGTCAGAATATATTAAATTGGAGGTGCTTTTTATAATGGTATTATATATGGCCTTAAATAAAACTAAGTGTAAGGACATGTCATTAAATACAATTTATACAACAAGATATTGTTTAACATTCTTGCTAATATTGGCTTATAAAATTATAATTTCTTTGACTTATAGCAAAATATTCTTTTTGAACATGCATAAAAAGGTTCATACTTCTTGTAAATGCTTAAAAATTGAACTTGGCTAGATCTATACTATGATGTCAAGTTCTATAATCAAGACTCTATTACTCTCATACTATCAAGAACATGAACCTTGAAGAACCAAAAATTCAATATACTCTTGTGTAACTAAAAAAAAAAGAAGATATTTATTCAAAATTAATATAATATTAAAACTAGAATAGCTATTACTAAAGACAAGAAGATTAGAAAGTCTTGAAATAAGACTAAATATTAAAAAGGCATTGACAAGAGTAAAGAAGGCTTTACTTTTGCCTCCATATATGATATCTAATTAAAAACTATATAGCAACGTTCTATAGGACTTCCAACATATGTTCAACTTGTGAGATATATATCTAACTTATAAAATAAGTTTTTTATATGTATACCATGCAATTAACTTTTTCTACAAGTTATTAGCACATTGTTGTATTGCATGATTTATAATCTAAGAATACATTGAATATCTGGGTGTAGAGAGTTTAATTTTATTTTATTGGTCAAGCTTCAATAAGTAAATTATTCTTGATACAAAGGACAAATAAACGTAATAATATCAAAAGAAACTCTAGGAAGTACTCTAAATCTTAATTTACAAGCACATGATTAATACTTTCTTCATATCTCAAAAAAAAAAATCAAATGATACAAATTTTTTTATATAGCTTAATAACATAATAATACACAATCTTAAAAATTTTGAGCCAAAATCTTATCAAATTTCTTGAAATATAGCTCAATATACAACCACTTGCAAATCAAATTTTTTATTACCTTTAGATTCTTAGCACTGACTTCAACTTCCAATATTCTCTTCATTCTAACTTAGAATTCATCAAATAATATATATAATGTGTAGCCAAAAAAGTGTCTTCTTCAAACCTAGTCAGCAATCCTTCATTGCTTTTCGTATATGTTAGTTATGCTCCAAAGAATGATAGTAGATACAAAATTGATACCTTGAATTTGAGTGCTTATATCTCCTTCACAAAAATTCCAAATTGCACAATTTTTTTTACCAAAATCATATTCAAAAATCTAAAATTTTTGATCCTAGCCTTCAATATTTAAATGTCTTTGAAAGAGTAACCCTAATTCTTAATAAGACCTCAAGCAACCTCTTTGAAGCCCATTGGATATGACTTTTGGCCAATAGGAATAGAAATTTTTATCATCCATCTCTATTCATCTGTATGGATGGCCTAACTACCACTTTTGATATCAAAATCCTTCTCTAATCCTTTTTCTAATAAGTTTTATATAATATATGTTCTAAACACCAAATAAAAGAAATAAAATTTATTATTATTAATATTTAATAAAGGTGGATTTAAATATATAAAAACTATTGTCAACATAAAGGTGGATCTAAATAAAGGTAGATCTAAATATATAAAAACTATTGTCAACATAAAAATCAACCTTAATAGTAGTTCTTTTAAACTAACTACATCAAAGTAGTAATCTAACCATATTTTATAATCAACTAAAATCTAATAAAATAGCTCTCAATACATTGTATAATAAATTATATATATATACATATATATATATATATATATATATATGCATTATTCTCACATAGTAGCCAAATCACAACACAACAGTGTGTGCTTTGTGGCTAACTTGTTAATCAAGTTTCTAACCTACCAATCAACTACAAATATATCTAAAGTCAAACATGTATCTATAAAGCTTCTAAAAAGCTTTGCCACAAGTTAATATCAAATTTTTCTTCTATTTAATACTTCTTATTTAAGTAAATGTATATATTTTTTGTCATATTTTGTGAAGTTTATATGAAAACACATTAGAAATCTAGTTGTAGAAGATAAAATGGAACCTATAATAAGAAGATCTCAACAGCTTTTATAGATTCTTAAACAAATTATAATTAAATTATAATAATGCTAATCAATCTTTAATTAAATTCTATAGTAATCTTAAAGAACTTATAAAAGAAATATAAAAAATTATAAATTGATTTGAAAGGAATATATATAATTAATAATCCTAAAAAAATATCAAAATAATCTTTAAAAAATAATAAAGATAAAAATCCTCATTGAATTTTAATAAAATTTTGATAAAATCCTCAATAAACCTTCAATAAATCCTAACAAAATCCTAATAAAATCCTAAATCAATGCTAATCAAACCTTAAAAAAATCAAATAAAATCCAATTAAAATCTAATGAAATCTTAACCAAGCCTTAGATCAAATCATAATCAAATCTTAATTAAATCCTAAATATTAAATATAGAACAAATCCTAATAAAATCCTAAATTAATTCTAATTAAATTCTAAATACTAAATATAGACCAAATCCTAATAAAATCCTATATTAATTCTAATTAAATTCTAAATACTAAATATAGACCAAATTCCAATTAATTCCTAAATTAATTTTAATTAAATTCTAATCAAATTCTAATCAAATCTTAAATTCTAATCAAAAATAAAATTAAATTTTAATCAAATTATGAATCTTAATTTTATATCAAATCATAATAAAATTTTAAATAAATCCTAATTAAATCCTAATAAAATCTTAATTAAATCCTAAATCCTAATCAAATCTTAAATAAATCTTAAAAAATCTCAAGAAAATTATAAATAAATCTTAATCAATTATTATAGCTATTTTGAAACCTTAATAAATATTAATTAAATTATTGATTTTGATTAGAATTTCCTTCAGACTTTAATCTATTAAAAATTTATAATCACATCAAATTTAAAAAGAATCAAATTCACCAATTGAAAGAAAAGCTTCCAAAACCTCTTAAATGTAAGCAATCCTCCTCCAAATTGAATTTTGATCATCCTACAAAGATTTTTTCTTGCTGAATTATTCTATTGCTTCAAAAATTGGTTGTTGTATAGGTATTGAAGTCTTAATTACTCTCACCAATTTTTGATTCAATTAAAGTGATCGATGTTGGAAGATTGCAAAAATCCTCAGTTATCCTAAATTTCAATTATCCAAGGCTATAATCTAAAAAAACTCTTATAATCTTCAATCTAATTACTTGATTGACATCAAATTTTTTACATATATTTACAACAAGAACAATACTAATTAAAAAAAATTATCCATAATTATGCTATGATACTAATAAAATCATCAAATTTATGATTTTATTTAATTTCTTACAATCCAAATCCATTGAATACATCTCACTTTGAAAAGCTTTCAAAACCTCAATATTCCTTCAAATCACATGAAATCAACTCTCAAAAATCTTTTCACCAATTTGCTCTCAAATTCCACTCTATAATCAAGCAAATAATCCTAGAATCACAATAGGTATACAAATTAGTGTCTTAGGGATCTGATTTCAATCTTAGTTTACTAACAGTCCTCTCCAAGTATCAATTCTTTATATTTTAAAGTAATTTTTATTTAAACCTATTTTTAATCTTTTAAAAAATATGCCTATATTAATTAATTAATTTATTTATTTTTATTTGACTCATTTATGCTCCTATAAAGTAAATAAAACTCTTTTCTATAAAAATAGTAATAAGTTTAAATTTTTTACTATCTTCTTATTATTTTTAATTTTTTTATGATATCTTTTTATTAGGTTTTTTAATAATAAAATATTTTCTTTCTCTTTTTATCTAATAGCCATATTATTATACAATACTATAACATTTTTGTTCTATGATAGGCTATAAATTGGTCCAAATGATAGTTGAGCTCTTTTTTAAAGATTGATAGAACAATCATAGGGACGATGCTTTAGAAGAAAATTTAAATTTTTTTCTCAAAAACATCTTGATAAACTCAATATTGGCTTGAAATACTACTTAAAATCTTTTTTCCATCTACAATAGGTACGGCATATATTTCAAAAATTGATCCTTCTTTTGAAGCATGCATGAAAGCTCTTGCATCTTCTAATGATGATTTGGATGTATTGGTCTAATGGAATTCTACTTGCTTAACAAAATCTTAGACAAAATTATAAGAAAAATTAAAATTATAAAAAAATCTAGTCTATTTAAAGAATATTTTTTTAATTCCAATAATCCTAAAATAATTAAATTAAAAAAATATCTAATTATATTCAATATTATTAAATTATTATATTCACTAGTTGTTACATCTAAAGGAAAATATTTATTTATAAATTCTTAAGAAGACAACAAACGACCAATTGTTACTTCTATGTGCACAAGTTTGATTTATTTAATTAAGGATATTTCTTGTTTTTTGACAAAAGTCTTCATCTATAAAATAAGCTAAGGCTTTTGAATCTAACAAGGCTAAGACTTTGTGATTTTTTTATCCTAAATAAATTTCTATTATAAAATAAAGTAATTATTCTGAGAAAAGGATAAGAACTTCAATAGACAATGTACAAAATTCTAGCCTCAGAGTTCTTAGTATAGCTAAAAAACTGATTTTCTAATACATCATTCTCTTTGGCAACCATACTCTTTATTTTGTAGTTGTGTTGCTTTTTCAAGCAATATTGAGTAGTGTAGTTAGGTTCTTTAGAATATTGGCACAATCTTTCTTAATAGCATTGAGTCTTTTTTTACTTAGTAAGAGAGTTGAAAGATATCATGTCAATTTACATAAGTTTTGATATGAATGAATAAGCTTTTTTAAATTTATGAACTATTGTTATGACTTGACTTGTACATCTTTAGCCAAATCTTTGTTCTTAGTATCTTTCAAAGAATTGATTATTGCATGCAATAGCTTAAGCAATAAATTTCTCCAATAATTCTACTTTTGATATTGTCAATAGTAAATCTTTGATATTAACTTTTAATCCATATTAAAATTAATTGATAAAAGCTTTATTGTTTAAATCCACATTACAAGTAAGGTATTAGAATTCAACAATATGTATGGTGGCTAAGTGTGAATCTTGTCTTAAAGATATGAGTTTGGTTTCTATTATCTTTTTTTTATCACTTTTTCCAAATGTGGCTAATAAGAGTTCTAATAATGAATTTAAATCAAAGAATAGTTGTGAATTCTTTTTCATCATAGGCACCAAGTAAGAAAAAGTAGTTCCAAAGAAAGTGTACCTGTGAAACTAACTTGAATAAGTCCATCAAAATATTGAAAAAAATGCAACCTTAAATAGAGTTTTATTTGTTGTGAAAAACCTTGAAACTTTGATATTGTTCCATCAAACTATTCTAGCATACTTATCTTTGCCTTTCTCATACTTATAGTAGCAAGACTTCTTAGATTTTGCTGTAAATTTGATCTATTTGCTTCTCTCAATTGCAAATCTTTTTGACATAGACTTTAAACTTCAATGTTGACTTCTTTCATATATATTGGATTATTACTTCTTTGGCTAATGTTAGAAATATCTGAGATTTATACCTTAAGGGTATTACAAGCTCGTGAAGATTTGCAATGGTTGCAAATCCATTCTCACTTCCATAAAGGGTAGCATCCATAATTTTTTCTTCCATAAATAATTCAAACAAATCTATGAGTCAAATTAGACGATAATAATCTACAACCTCTAATATCAAATGAAAATTTCTACAAAGAAGGATAGTTTATTCTTTAAGGGAAAAAATCACTATTAGAAAACTAAAATATTAGATTCAAGGTGGATAGTCCACAACCTTCAAAATACTTTAATAGAAGTAGAATAGTCCACTCACTTCTAAAAACAAGATAAGAATAATGAATTAGCACTCTTGTCAAACTATCAAAGATAAAAATCTTAAAGAACCAAAAATTCAATACATTCTTATATAATTCAATCAAATAGATATTCTTGTAAAAATAATATAATATTAAAATTAAATTGGCTATTGTTATAGATAAGAAGACTAAAAATTCTTAAAACAAGATTAAGAATTAGAAAGGTGTTGATAAGAGTGAAAAAAGGCTTCACTCTTACTTCCATATATACTATCTAACTAGAAGCTATGTAGTGACATTCCAAAAGACCTCTAACATGTATTCAACTTGTGAGACATGTGTTTAACTTACAAGATAATTTTCCTATATGTGTGCCATGTAATTAGCTTGTTTTACATGGCTGCCACTTTTTGCAAAAAAACTAGGAAGATGGATAAATCAATGTGCATCACATCTCTTTTCTAAACATGCTTGCTAATATCTTAATGAAGACCCTTGGAAATATAAATTTTAAATCTTATTATTCACGTTTGAATATAACTCTAATACTTTTCAAGATAGCAAAAAAAATAAATAAAAAATTAAGTGAAAATATTTTATCTCAGGAATAACTTGCTTATAGATCAAAGATTTGAGCTTCACTAAGACTCATATATAATGTATTTGGATATCTAAGAAAAGCTTGAAGGTCTTAGTCTTATCTTTCTAACTACATTAAAGGTGCTACAATCCATATGAGACTTGTACACCTTCTTTTCTACAAAGACTAGAATAGTTGTTAGTCCTTCTATTTTGTACTAATAAAACTAATATTTTGGCATTTTTTACTTCACTATAGTATTCAAAAACACCCAATCAATTTAAAAACCTTGCATGGCCTTCAAATCTTGCTCCATTTCTTCATAATAGCTCCTAAGGTGGTTAAATTCAATTTTACCAAAGTCTTAAAATTTTCTCTAAAATTTCCTAAAAAATTCTAAAAAAATTCTAAAAATTTCTATAATATTTTTATAATTCTAATATCAATTTAAAGCCATGTTTTCTTACTTTGGTAATTTTTATGGTAATACAATCAATTGAAATCCACTATAAGTCTTATTTTTAATGTAAATATGTAATAAGATATGAAATTCTTTTTTATGCTTATTTTAAGTAATAATTAGTATTTGTAGACTTTTTAACAAGTAATAAATATAGTTAAAAGGCCAATATAGACATTAATCTTAATAACTTATTTTTACTACTCAACAATAAATTAAAATATTAAATCAATAGAAATATTTACCTTCAAGATTTATTAAGATTCTATTTTTATATCTTTTTTTTAATTCTCAAAACTAACAAATGTTTCTACCAAATTCATAGTTTTTGTGAAGCATATGCAATTTGTCACCAATTAATTATTCTATAGGCTCTTTCTAAGAACAAAGTTACAAAAAGCCATAACTAATCTTGCTTGATATTATGAGATGCTTATTCCTTTAGCACAAAGAACTCACAAATTTTTAGTTCAGAATAGCATTGGTGTGGATCCTCTGATGCACAAAAACACTGACAACGGTAGGAAGGCTTGATTGGCAGTTATGGTGATAGCAATCTCGTGCCGGAATGATGGAACAACCTTGCTCTCAAGTGCTCACTTCGGCTCAACGCTCTCCTACTGGTGATTAAACCTACTCTACACCAGTAGCATGAACAACCTCATGACCACCCAATAACCAACACTAGGCCACGAAAGTATAGAACGGGGTCGAGTCGATTCTCTTCTCCTTTCAATCACCTCTTCCGGTTCAAAGCCTTGATTGTAGTCTAATTTTGAATCCACAGTTGTTAAGGCAGGCATCGTGCGCTCCACAACCAATTTTCCGCGCGCAAGGAAGGATGCACGGGAAATTCCAGCACCACTGCAGCATTAAGAAAAGTTGGAACGAACGGGGACAACACCCTTGTTCCACCGCAACTCTATCACTTGTAACAAAACAGGGAGTGGTCGCTTAGCTTCTCAGCCGTTGCAACCATGAACACTCTGGAGTGCGGAAGATCAACGCCACCGCCAAACGACGACATCAATACAAGAAAATTCAAGAAAAGCCAGGAATTGTCTTCCACCCTTCAACCACAACACCGACATCAGCTGAATGATAAAAAAGAAAAAATCCACGCTAGCACCACAGGATGACGATTGTACAACTTGCAATAGGAGCACGAATGCAAGAAAAAAACAAGAAATAAGCTAGACAACTCCGTTGCCGCCTAATTGGAATAACATCACGTAAGAAGATGTTGACTTCACTGCGCTCAAACTAGCACCCTCAGAACCTCCACGCTATCGCAACAGCAACATGCATTAAATCCCAACCGCCGACTGGTATTAAACGGACGCTGTAGAGCACCTTTCCGCAACAACACCTCACAACACGCGGAGCACTTCCAAAACAGTGACATAAACTATGAAAACTACTAACTTGTTGCCGTCGCTTCATCGCATTGAAGTCGTACAACTAAAGAAGTCCTTGTCAATCTTGAGGTCCGCATCAACCGTCGCAAGACTATCAAATGTTCACAAGAAGTTGTATGGGGAAGGAATTCTCTACTCACCGAGCAGGAATCAAAACAAGAACTGAGCTTGGAGCCAATTACCACCTATCGTTGTCGGCGATACAACAACAAAACTAGGAAGGATGCGCAGCCACAAATTCTCTGTAGCACACCCTACAACTGAGCAGCACCTCCGCCGCACACACCTCAGTAATACGTCTAATAAGGAGAGGGCACCGTCCACCACAAGAAGGTCAGTACTTCCAGCATCAACTGCCGCTGAGCCCAAAAACTGCGCTGCAACAATAATTGCAATAAGTAAATAAATAGCGACAGCCCTCAAGATCTCTTGATGCAAGAGCGAACACAAACAACCCAGCAAACGACTACATCTCCGCTGAGAAACTACACAAAAATAGATAGAACTAGGGAAATGTCGGTATATAAAATTTTCAACCGATTAGCAATGTTGCCAACTGCAGCTGCAACACTGCCGCCTTGGTGTTGCAACTGAGCCCACTCAATCAACCCAAGACAACCGCGTCAAGGAGCCAAGAACAAAACACATAGCCGACAGCACCTCCATTGCTGAACAATACCAAACAAGAAGAATATTACGACACCATGGTAACCAGCAGAGTCTTGCTAGAATTGCCGAACGCACACAAAATTCGAGAACAGGGAGAGGCCGCAACACGCCGGAACTCGTGAAACTCCCAAATTCAGGAGAAAAAAAACACGAAAAGAAGAGACAGAGGGCTCCGTGCTCTCGGACCCCTGTCGACGGCGGTTCCCGAGAGATGGAGCTTCATAATAACCGCCGTCAATACCCGCAATTCGATACCCGCCAAGTACCCCTAGTTCAATACACACAAACTTATCCGGCCGTACATACATAGTATCATATATAGTGTTGTATGATATTCCATATGGTATCTCGTACAATATCCAATACACAATCTATAATATAGTGTGCCGTATGGTGTTTGAACTTGTATAATATTAGAATTTAGAATGTTTTAGATTTTCTTTAGATACTCTAAAGATACTACAAAAGATGCTAAAATTGATGCCTCCAGGATCCTTCTAAATAGAGAATTTCTACTAGATTTACTACACTGAATTGTATTTTCTCTACTAACACTATTGTTCCTTCTAAACTAACCTTCACCTAATAATTACAATTTAGCACTCTAAATGCATCCTTTTATTTTGTAGCAACCAATAAATTGATTTGCTGACTCACAATGATATCTACCTCTTTACTATCAATTACATTATCTATTACTCTGCCATCAACTACAATTTAGGACCAATACAATACTTTGGCTCTTTTGTTAACATCACCAATGGCTCTACTTCTCCACCACAACACATGCAACTATATGATATTTAGATACCTTGACACATATGACATTGAGTCTATTTTAGGAGAAAATTTACAATATCAAGATATATATCATAATAAAAACTGGCAAGCTGTGATGGGTATGAAAGATAACTTCATCATGCACAACAAAACTTGGTCATTACAACATTTGCCACCCAGTAAGAAACCATCTTAGCACGACAGCCATCTTAGCATCAGCTTTGAGCAAAAGACCAACATGCATTATTTCTACACATTAACTCAAATTGTGGGATGGGGTGCAACATGACTAGTAATAGATCTTGATGCCCATGCTCATTAGCTGCTATGGCACTTAAATGATCAAACAACCTTTCTAAATGACAAAAATAATAAGCAACAATCCAAAGGGTTTATTGTTCTTGGTCAAGACTTTCAAATATGTTGTCTGCACCATGCACCATGCACCATGCCTTCTACTGCCTAAGCCAAATTCCCAATGCATGGTGCAGCAGAGTCAACCAATATCTTTGTAATCAAAACCTTGTCCAAAGCAACACCAACTCCAACTTATACTACTCACATCACTTTACAGAATTGCAAGTATAGAAAGATTACATCAGAATAGAATAAACTAATGTGTAAAGAGGGAGTGTTGAAATAACTGTTATACACTAATATGCAGTTAAGCACTGAGAGTGCCTCTTTAAACACGGCCAAAAGTCTTGACAACTAGAGACTATTTATATCATACTCAAATTGTTTCTCAATTGAGCAATTCAATCCATTTTCATTTACTGCACTTACGCAGTTTATCAAGCTTTTCATGTCAGGCTGGAATTTTTTGAGAACTTGGTAAGGCACAAAGCCACTGCGATCCTAGACATTTAGGCACCCGGCTGCCTGGGAAGTCTCTCTACTCTCCATTTTCAAATTAAGTTTATCTCTGCAAACTCCAAATTTCAGCACTAGCCATTTTTCGATTTCTCAGTGTCCCGTTCTCTCGCATCAAGGACGTGACTTCAATAGCTTTTCTTTTGCCTCCTCACTAGGTCAAACAACCCCACCGCCATCCTCGCAGATGTCGAGAGAGGGTGTTCAGACAGACGTAATTACGACATCTAATTTGACGTCTTCCAGATTAGCTGAAGTAACTTCTCCTCGGAAAGCAGATCACTAACTAGCATGGGAAACTTCAGCAGCATTAAACATTTCCCCCGATATATAGAGCTGCTCTCCGTTGTATTCCAATAAGCTGCTTCATCAATGTATTTCCGATCATCTGTTCCTACACGTCATTTTGACACCAGATTGCACTGGTGTCCGTTCAACTTCGTTGTTTGGACCAAAACTCTCGTATATTCAGCGGTACGGAGATAGTACGAAATACAGGATGAAATTCCCAGCAACCTAAGTGTAACATTTTATTGCGACCTCAATCTTGGCCACAGATATACATATTCATCAGACGTATATCACTCAAAAGGGATTGAGCGAAATTGTATTCTCACAAACATACAATCCAAGACAACACGATATTGATACATTGATCGGATTCTTGACTTGCGAATAGTCTTAGGGAAGGGCAATGTATCATATTCAAACCAACCATGTCACAGGTCTAGGAAGATCCATGGAGAATCCATGAGATCCCCCGCATTTACAAATATTCACTATACATAGAACATGTTTTGTCACAGTAACTACGAGGAAGTTGTACAAACATTTCAGGCCCTTTTTCCAAAGACTCTTGAACACGGGACAACTTGCTGGGGGTTTGTGGCACTTTAAGCCTTCTTCAGTTCCACCTCGAGAGTGGCTTGTCCATTGTTGGTCATGCTCCCAAACAAGTGGAAGCCCTTCTGTTCGTTATTGATATACTGATCAGGTTTGTTGGGGTACGGCATCCCACCAGATCCATTGTACAGGTTATCATGGACATTCGCGTCGGGTGGCTGACGTCCATCAACTACAGCTATGTTCCACCAATTCGAGTACAAGTTGTAGTCGAAGGGGACGGACCACATCACATGGACCGTCTTGTCCTCGTCCTGCCATACAGTAATAGGATGCAACTAGCGTAAGGTTTCCAATGAAATTTTGAAAACATCATCTGGACATCTGGACATCTGGACAGGTTATTATGGACTTGTCGATTCTTGACTCGAATGCGGAGTTATCGAATTTGATTAAATCCACTGCATTCATCCGCTCAGGATAAAGCTGCAAATTAGCTCGACCGCCTTTAGCATCGCATTCTGCAAGGGCAAGCGCATGCAAACCCGACGAGCTTGGAGGTAAACATGCAGAGTAGTAAATTGGAAAAATTGCATGCATTTGCACACTGACCTGTATGTAGTAGGAGAATGTGCCAACTGTCCCGCGGGCAGTATGATCCGACTTGCGCGCAGAGAACAGAAGAGCTTCTTGAGGGTTAATCTTATAGGCGATGCTCTGATTGCTCGATCCACTATTGAAGTATACCCCCAAGTTCTCGAGGGTATACTGAAAGTTAAAAGGGCCAAATCGTTAGCTTCCAAGTGTCTTGAGGGGTGCCAAAGCACAAAATGTGTGTAGCGCTTATCAGTTCCATGAATTTGTGAAACAGCACAGTACGAAACCCAACTACGTGTTGGTGCAAACCAACGATCATGATTCATACAATCCGACCTTGAAAAGCAAGCCTGCCCAATGCATCCACTGAAATAACGCGAGAAAGAGATCCCGCGTTAGCCATGCCTATTGTCGGGAGTGGTAACTACTTACGTCCGTGAGGTTCTTGAAACCGATTGCGATCTTTCGATCAACTCCGGTTATCCCCTCCACAATGTTCTGGAGCGTCACGATCGTGAGCTCAGCAGCTGGAATAATTGCTGCGGCCATCCTTGCGGTTTTCTGCCAACACGGCACTGTTAGTGTGGTGATCACCATGATAGTTTCGCTATATCGCAGACCCATCGCAATCAGGTGGACTACCATTGCAGCTTCTATTCGAATTCATCAATCATCAGAATCTTAATGCTCACGGCCCTGCATTCACATGCTACCACTGACCTACAGATTACTGTCTGGTGAGCAGATTCTGTATATGAGTTGCCGTTTGATGATAAAAGAACGAGTATCAAACTGGAACTGCAGAAAACCGATTCAGGACGCAGTGACAAGGCAGTCCATGCCTTGTTGGGGCATATCAAGAACCGAGTTTGTACCTTTCGAGGTTGCAGGAACAATGCTGGAGAGGTGATTGATCGATAGCTCAGTGGTGCCAAAGCGACGAACTGGTTGCTCAGTACGTAGTGCGACAAGACGGATAGTGGTTGATGCAGTGACGTGATGGTGACTGAAGCCGCTAAGTCGGCTTTAAATTCCAGGTTACTGACTGAAACACGCTTGCTAACTTCTATGTGCGTCTCAAACGTGCCTGCGCTTGTCCGCTTCCGAGAGGGTGCTTCAAGCCCGAGGACTTGCCATGCAGTGACGCGAGGGTGCACGAGAAGCTTGCTCTGTAGTGACGTGGGAGTGAACGACGAGGTTGGGAGTGCACGAGGAGCTTGCTCTGAAGTGACGTGGGGGTGCCCAGGAACTTGGTCTCTAGTGGCGTGGGACTTGCAGGTCAGCCCTACTGGAAATGCTGAATGCCATTCCACAGCAACCAAGTGAGCACCCTCTTGATTCAACACTTGTACAAAGCATGTGAACAAACCACCTTTTCTTTACTAAGCAAATAGATCATACACTCCTAATACGCAGTTAAACCAAAAGTAAGCACTCCTGCTGTGAAAACCCAATTTTATGGTTAGGAAGTAATGGAACCAAAATCAGGAGAGAAGTTGGGTAAAAGGAAGTAAATGTAGGTAGAGATAGGAAAGTTAGGCACATAGTTGAATTGAGGAACATAGGACAGCTGAAACTCGTTAGAATACATACATCTTGCAAGTCATTTGCACAAGAACTTGGTCCAAATTAAGAGTCATTTGGATTCTACATAATATTGGGTTAGGCTATTAAACTAGGGCTATAAGAGTTAAAAACAGGAAGGTCAATTTGTAACATGGAAGTAGGACCATTTTGTGACCTCTTGATAACAAAGACTTGATATCAATTGTTATTATGTTATAAACTAGCTATTGGATGAAAGAAAAAAAATATGGATAATAGCATTGAAGAGCTTATTTGAAGAATATTTTAGCAAATTATTTAAAAAAAAAAAAAAAAAAAAAAAAAAAAACCATAGTTAAAAGATAAGAAGACAATAAATACATTAAAAACTAGAATTACATTTGTTGTAAAAAGGCATCTATTTACTTTGGAGGACTATAAAGAAGAAAAAATCAAGTAGATGAGCAAAAATATTGATATGAATACTTTTAGGTGACAATACAAAATAACTTCGAGAAAATTTCTATGAAAATACAAGAGATTGATATCAAAGAAGATAAATTGTGAACTAAGGTTAAACCAAGATCTCAAGGTTTAGAACCACATGTCTATAGCAATTGTGAGGTTTTTTTGTTGAATAAAGAATAAGTTTAAGAAGCATGCTTTATTGGTTTTTTGGAGCATTAAGTATTAGTAATTTGAGTGGATATTTTTTTTTATAAGACACGTGTAAAGTCAAGATTATTTTAGATTATATGGGATTTTGTGAAATAAAGAAGAGTTTATATTTTGGAGAATTTTGTGAATACTATAGTAGATCAACAAATAAAAACTTATTGGATTATGAAGGTATCGGTGGTTCAATTTATATTTGTCACTATTTGACTTTGTATAAATTTTTAATATTTAAAAGTAAGTATGAGCTAAAATAACACCACTTTAGTTGATAGCATATTAAACTTTATAATTGTTCATCATGTTTTTAAAATTTTAATTAATTTTCTTTGTTATTTAAGTCCATTTAAATTATTTTTTAAAAACTTCTTAGATTTAATTTAATTAAATAAAAAAATAAAAAAATTCATCCATCCAAAAAAAATTATCTTTATAAATTTTTATCTGTAAATAAGAATTAATTACTTGATTATTCATCTATATGGAATTTTATCTAAACCAAACATCATCCACTCTAGAAATCTTAATATTATTACCTTGATGATTTTTGTCTAGTCACTTTATGATAATATTATTCTTGTATATCCAAAACTATTGAAAAAAAAATTGATGATTGTATTGTTTGATCTTTGATGTAATCAATGATCTCTAGAAAGATTCTAAAAAGATGCTTAAAATGTTTCCAGTTCATGTATTCCTATGTCACCTTTATCAATTATAGAAAATTACAAGAGACAACTAATGTGTTTTTAGAATGTTTCATAAGATTAAAGATTCATAGTGAAGCTTATTAAGAAGTTTTGAGGATTGGTATAAAAGTGGCTATAAAAAAATTAATAAGTAGAGGTAATATACTAAATTAGTTATATTATCTATACTTAATCAACTATTAGATTTTTTTTATTTCTTATTCAAGCCTCTACAATATTATTATGATATGAACTAATGCTAAATACTAATTTGAATTGTAATTGTATAGAACTTAAAGTTTATGCATAGTCTTTTTAATTGAATTATACATATGAACTAATCTTGAAAGCTATACATGATTTAGCTCCTTCACATATGGATTTATTACCTTGTATGATATATCCAGAGTTCAAGGCCTATCATATATTTCTAAAAAATAACTTTATTCTTTAAATTGTAAATCTTGAACTGACTCATTTAACTCTAAAGATCTCTGGTATTTTAATTTTAATTTTAATTTCTAATATTAGCTGTTTTACTACTTTTATTTATAATTTAAAATTCTATGATAAAAAAACCATCTATTTTATAAGAACAACAATAAAAATGAATATCAATAAAGGAGTAGCTTCATTGAAGATAAAAGGAGTGACTAAGCAATGACCTAGAAGAATCATTATATTGGATGTAGGTTAGATTTCAGAGAAAGAAAGAAAGAAAAAATGGTTGCAACAAATAAAAAAGGAATTAATACTAATATTATAAAGGAGAAGTTGAAGTAGTGAGTTATAAAGGATCCATTGTTGGAGTCTGATACCATAGATAAGAATAATATTGGGTCTTGCATCTATTTTAGGAACCTCAAGCACAACTCAAAGTCCAATGTTGGTACTGATCAGTAACTTGATAAAAAAACCTACCTCCACAATGTCTTGATGCTTATATTAAACTTGTGAAAAAAAAGATATAGCAGATAGTGAGAAGAATGAAGTCCTTTTATTGTCAGGAAAAGATGGCTAATAAGAAAAAAAAATTAAAATTAAAAAGAAAGACCACAAGTAGTGAAAGAGATGAAGTTCTTCTACCACTAGAAAATGGCCGTCTATAAGAAAAAATGAGGAAGAAGAAGAAAAAATAATAATTATCAACCTTGATCATTCATTACTAAAAACAAGGCCATTGATTATAGAAACTTTAATTCTAGAGTACTAAAAAAATGTGAATTGGCATAGCAATTAGTATAACAATAATTACATCAAAATTTCTTGTAAGTACAACATTACTAAATGATGCCAAAAATGGGATGGAAGAATGCACACAATTATTAAGATCACTTGAAAGACTACTTATTCACTTGATTCTTCAAATCTTTATCAAATTCAGAGGAAAAGAATTAATAACAAAATGAAAAGAATAAAAAAAGATAAAATATAAATAAGAAACAATAGAAAAATACAACTAACTTGTTTTAAAATGTAGAGCACCAAAGATCTAAAGAGTTGTTTCAATCAGGTCGATAAGCCTAACAATGAACCATTAACACAAAAAAAATGACTCTTATGCTATAACTATGACCATTGTTAACTACATCCTTTTAGTTCTTTTAATTTAACCATAATATAATCAATTTAGAATGCAAAACTTGTGCTGATAGAAGCAATATACACATACTACCATTTACAAAGATGATGTTTGTTAGATTTTATCAACAACATTAAGAGACTTCTAATAATACAAAAATAAGACCTATTATAAAGAATAGGGATAAGATAAAAAAAAAAAAAAAAAAAAAAAAAACCAATGTCAAGTCATGCTACTACAAAAACAGTAATAGATTAAAAAAATAAAACTATGAAAGAATCTGTCAGCTAGTACTAATTGTTGGCGGCTTAGCAATAATATAGTAGTAGCAACCACATTGTTTCTACACCACATAGTACCATAAATCATCAATTGTAGCATCCATTGTAGCCAATGACAGAATGACAAATACAAATCCAACCACAACAATGCATACAAAAGAAATAAGTTTTGGTGTTGCTAGTAGCTTAAGAAGAGAAACCAATTGGGCCAATGTCTACTACAACATTGCACACCACAACCAAAGTAAGTCAATGCCAAAAGAGCAATAGTTGTTCCAACTGCAATATATTTAAAATGCAAAGTTCTCACACAAAAAAAACCTCCAAAAAAATAAAGAAAGAAGACAAGCTTTCTTGGACCTCTTCTTAATGGAAATTATTTTCAAAGAAATTAGATCAGCACCATCTTCTTTTAAATTCCATTGTCTCCTATTGATATCAATATAACTTGATGAAAAATAGTGATTATTTGTGTGGCTCTTGTCACTACAACAATTGTTATTGTCAACCACTTCTAAGAATATTTTTTTGCCTTTGTGTCTTCCTTGCAAATATCAATATTTAAAATTGAGCTTCTAGTTGGATCAAATATAATTTATTTTTTTAAAAAAAATCATTTCCAATATAATCCATCATCCTTGTTGTACCTACATTTTTGCTAATTTTTCAATCTCAATAATATGACCACTTCTCTATACTTGATAATATCAACTCTCTCAGATCAAGATTCATTAATTGTTTTTTAATTCTTTTAATAATTAAAAATAATAAAATAATAAATCTAATATTTTAAAAATATATTTATAAAAAAATTTATACTAAAATTTCTACTAAGTATCTCCTTCTTCCAATTAGTATTAAATTTCTCACTCATCTAATAATTCTTATACTAATTTATCTAAAAAAATATTTTTTGGCACTTTAAGTGTATTTTTATTTTTTAAAACTATAAATGAATTGTTTTGATAATTCACAATTAGATCCAAATTTTATTAATAACTACATATATTAAATTGTGTTTTCCATATGTGCATCAAAACTTTGCTAAAAAAGCTTCTAAATTATTCAATATTAAATCATGTCATTTATAGAAAAATAAAAATTATAATAAGGTAGAATCTAAAATTAATCATTGTAATAAATTTGACTTGTGATCTTAAGACTGAATAGCTTTGAAATTGAAGCTCAATGATCAATTGCATTTGGTTGCTAAAACTTCAAAAAATTGATCTTATACTATCAAATTACTCAAGAAAGTCAAATTTTGATTCTTTAATAATAATAGTGATGCTTATTAGATACTTTATTATAAATATTCAAGTAGCATCAACCATCTCTATATCTTTATTTTTAACTAATGTTAAT